AACAGAGGAACATATTAAATGACACCACAGGGATACAGTCAGCAAAATTTGACTGTGGGAAACTCTACAGGTTAGCCAGTTTTGTCAAAAATAAATAAATAAATAAATAAACTTGCAGGGGGTGGGAAGAGACAGAGGAGGAACTTATATGTTCACAGAAATTCAAAAGACATATCAGTCACATCATATGAACCTTATTTGGATCCGAATTTAAGCAAACTGTTTAGAGGACAGATTTGTAGAACAATTGAGAAAGTGTAAACATTTGATAATATTAAAGAATTATTGTTATTTTCAAAGTGAGATAATGGTAGTGCTTTGATTTTGTTTGTTTGTTTTAAGTGACTTTATCTTTTAGAGATTCGTGGTGAAATACAAATGATGCGATGTCTAGGATAGTGTGGGGCAGTGGGAGTGGGTAGGGGCGCAGATGAAACAAGGCTGGCCGTGTGTTGATGATTGTCAAAGCTGGGTGTAAAGTACCCTGAGCTTATTATTCTAGTCTCTCTTCTTTTGTATATGTTTGAAATTTCCCATAGTAAAATACTTTTTTTAAAAATTAGAAGAGTTGGAAGGAAAAATAGAAGTCTTTCAGAAAAAAAAAATAATGAAAGACAGAGATGGAAAATAGGAGCGAAAGATAAGAAGCATAGGGCCGGCCCGGTGGCTTAGCGGTTAAGTGCACGCGCTCCGCTGCTGGCGGCCCGGGTTCGGGTCCCGGGCGTGCACCGACGCACCGCTTCTCCGGCCATGCTGAGGCCGCGTCCCACATACAGCAACTAGAAGGATGTGCAGCTATGACATACAACTATCTGCTGGGGCTTTGGGGGAAAAAATAAATAAATAAAATCTTTAAAAAAAGAAAAAAAAAAAAAAAAAAAAAGAAAGATAAGAAGCATAAAGGATAAGTTCGGGATTCCCAAAAACAGAGAGGAAAGAAAATGGAAGGGAGAAAATGATCAAAGAAATAAGATGAGAAAATTTCCCAGTGCTGGTAGCTGCTGGTTTCTGGATTGAGAGGCCAGCCAGGAGCGAGCACCGCGGAAGAAGCAGCCCCACGCCCAAGTCCCTCATTGAGAAGTTTCATCAAGTTGGTGTCCTGGGCCACGATCCTCACATACCTTCTTACAGTCCCTCTGCTGCCCGCTTTTCTCTCTGGACGGAACCCTGTGGGCACCGGTTCTAGGCTGAGTTGCCCCTCCACTTTTAGAGTTGGATGAAATGCCACACCATGGGATGTGGGACCTGGTTTCCAGGGTGCTGCTAAGGGTCTGGATGCCATATCTGGAAATATAGACAAGTTAGCTTTCGGATAGTCCTTGACTGATGGAAATGGGAGATGGGAGGCAGCTGGGCAGATAGGTTCGCCCCCTCCGCTCTCTCCTGTGGCTCCTCCTTGTGACCCTTCCAGAAGAATCTCTTGTGCTTGATGAACCAGCCTCCAGTCTGGTAACACCTGGCTGATGCGTTACCCGCCCTTCCTCACTCCTTTTTCCCTTGACATTCTGTTATGAAAACTTTCAAGCATAAAGGAAAGTTGAAAGAATTTCACAGTGAGCACCTGTATGCCCACAACCTCGAGTTTACCATTGACATTTTAAACAGCTTTATTGAGATATAATTTAAATACCATCAAATTGACCCATTTAAAGTGTTCAATTCAATGGTTTTTAGTATATTTACAGAGACATGCAAACATTATCACAGTTTTAGAATATTTTCTTTACCCTCAAAAGAAACCACATACCCTTTAGCAGTCACTCCCGTTCTCCTTTTCCCAACCCTAAGCAACCTCAAATCTACTTTCTGGCTCTGTGGAATTGCCTGTTTTGGACGTTGCATATAAATGGAATCATACAATAAGTAATCTTGTGTGACTGGCTTCTTTCACTCAGCATAATGTTTTCAGGGTTCATCCATGTTGTGGCACGTATCAGTACTTCATTCCTTTTTATGGCCAAACACTATTCCATTGTATATTATCAACATTTTAGTAGATTTGCTTTATTGCATGTCTATCCATCCCTCTATTGATCCATTAATCCGTCTTATATCTTTTATGTATTTCCAAGTAAGCTGACTTCCCCTTTTGCCAACCCTCAGCACCTTTGCCTTGCATACCTCTCAAATAAAGCTCATATCATATGGCCACCCTAGGTGCACAGGAGGCTGGAGGTGGAGTACTTAGCCTTCTGGCCTCTAGAGTAGAGGGATACGAGGAAAGGGAGACTGGGAATGGATTTTTGCTACCTTGGCATGCAGTGTTTCTCAGTCTCATCCACATCTCCTCCTCCAGTCTTCCCTCCCACTGTTGCATCCCACAGATCTTATATTCCAGAAACGCCAAATTTCTTCAAGTTCCTGAACACCCCACATTTTTCCTGACTCCATCTCTTGCACATACTCATTACCTGGATAGTCTTCTCTATGAGACAGATTCTTCCCTCATGACTCAGCTCAGCCTTCGCTCTTCAGTAAAGTAACCCCAACACACACACACACACATACACACACACACACGCACACCCTCTGGCCTCCCTGTGCTTGTTTTGCACTCCCATTCTGGCATTTATCCTACTTTTCTGAATTAACTTTTTGACTTCTCTGTGTCCACCAGCCTGTAAATCCTTAAGAGCAGGGGCCAGGCCTTATATGTCTCAGTATTCCTAGGACTCACTGCACGACATGGATCAATAAATATTTGTTGGATAGTGAACGGAAAGCATCTAGTTACCATCTTTACTGTTGTTTTGTTGGGCATGCACCAAGTGAGGCCCTGCGGTCAGTACCTGGTTTGGATACAAAGATGAGTAAGACTATATCCTGGGCCTCTGTCAGGACTTATTGTCTGGGCAGATGCAAAACCGGACAAGACATCAGGACAACAGATGTAAACCAGGGCTGTCCCAGGCAAACCGGAACATATGGTCATCCAAATTATATACCAGCTTCTATGAAAACAGCAGTGCCATGCTGACTCATGCCCAGCCTGTCAGACCCCAGTCGCTTCCAGAATCTTCTTGCACAGGCCAATTACTCCTTGCTGGGTCTTGAGTCATTTATTTTTTTCATTGTTGTTATCCATGTAAAAATTATCCATGAAATTTAATATTCCTAAGGCATTACATATACTGTGCACATAAAAAACATATACTTAAGTAATTACACAGGAAAAAATCACCTAATGAACAGCTAAAAACACTTTCCAACCTTTTCTTTTTTTTTTCCGGTGAGGAAGATTAGCCCTGAGCTAACATCTGTTGCCAATCCTCCTCTTTTTGCTGAGGAAGATTGGCCATGGGCTAACATCCATGCCCATCTTCCTCTACCCTACATGTGGGACGCCTGCCACAGCATGGCTTGATAAGCGGTGCGTAGGTCCACGCCTGGGATCTGAACCTGCGAACCCCAGGCTGCCAAAGTGGAACATGTGAACTTAACCACTATGCCACCAGGCCAGCCCCTTTCCAATCTTTTTTGATGTACTGAAATGCATATTTGTAATCAGTGTGTGAAACCCATTACATATATAAATTTCTTGGTATTACAATAGACTCTGGTCTATTGTCTTTATTGATGGGTATCTGGATGTTTCCAGCTTGTGACCATTATGAGTAATGGAGCTATGAACATCTTGATATAGATTCCTTTTTCTTTCTTCTGAATCATTTCTTGGAGGTACATACTCCACAGTTAAGTAACCTGGTCGAAGGACAGGAGTGTTGATACATCTTATTTTCTATTACTGTACATCTTACTGTTCTCCTAACAGACTGGGTCAATTTACAGAGCACATCTATTTCTCACAACTCTGCCAATAATTTATATTATCATTATCATTTTTATGTACTAATAGAAGGTTATTGTCATTCTAGGGTGTTCTTTGTGTTTTTAATTGCTGCAGAGGTTATACATTATACTTTAACCAAAAGCAACTTAATTTTTGTGAAAACATGATATAAATATATACTTTATAATTACAAAGTATGTTGTAGGTATTCATTAAATATTTGTTGAATGAATGAATGTATTAAAATCACACACAGTCACAAAAAGACAAATACTGCATGATTCCACTTATATGAGGTCCCTAGAGTAGTCAAATTCACAGAGACGGAAAGTAGAATGGTGGTTGCCAGGGGCTAGGGAGTAGGGGCAATGGAGAGTTGTTGTTTAATGGGTGTAGAATTTCAGTTTTGCAAGATGAAAAGAATTCTGGAGATTGGTTTCACAACAATCTGAATGTATTTAATTCTCTTGAACTGTACACTTAAAAATGATTAAGATGGTAAATTTTCTGTCATGTGTATTTTACATATATATATATTTTTTTAACCCAATGGTCATTTGACATATATTGTCAGTAGAAGTATGCCTATGATATGTAGTCATGCATGTTAAATGAAGTTTCATATGAGGATTTTCTGGATTAAAATGACAGTGTTCATTTTTCAACGCAGAGACAGACAAGCAGGCAGAGATGTCTGATATTAATATCATTACCTAGCAAATAGAGTAAAAAACATCATAGACTAGATAATATTATGTGAACATCAATATTAGCAATAAAGTGCTAACCTTAAAAAAATCATGCATCTAATTTTCTATTACCTGTGAATAAAATACAGACAGTTCTTAGGGAATCCTAGAGACATCCACTTGAACTTTTCACCTTAAAGATGAGGTGCTGAGACTAAGAGAGGCTGCGTGATTTTCCCCTTCAAGAGCAGCAAAGTCTGTCCTTTTTATAATGCACTCCAGCCAAATCCTCTTTTTGTCTCATTGGCCAAAATGGATCACATGGCCTTCCCTGACTGTACCAGAGGCTGCTGGGAAAGCAGGGAATAGACTAAGTTAGACACATTGCCACCCCAAATAAATAAGGGTTCCCTTAACAAGGTAAGTAAAGGAGAGTGGGTATTGGATAGGCCATCGGCAGCATCTGTTACACTCACGTTAGTGTTTTTGTTCTGTTTTGTTTTTTGTTTGGGGTGTTACAGGCTGGAACCAATGGCTATATGGCTCCTGAAATCCTGATGGAAAAAGTGAGCTATTCCTATCCTGTGGACTGGTTTGCAATGGGATGCAGTATTTATGAAATGGTTGCTGGACGAACACCATTCAAAGATTTCAAGGAAAAAGTCAGTAAAGAGGATTTAAAGCAAAGAACTCTGAAAGAGGAGGTCACATTCCAACATGATAACTTCACAGAGGAAGTAAAAGATATTTGCAGACTCTTCTTGGCTAAAAAACCAGAGCAACGCTTAGGAAGCAGGTAAACCTCCAGGTGATAGAGATGATTAGTGCTGTTAGCGTTGTCCACAGGGATTGGGAAAATACTTTGAATCAGTGACAAAGCCTTGGGATTAAGTAGTAGTATTATTTTCCTATTATTATTTGCATATTATATGGTTAAGTATTTCCAATGCTTTCAAACACTATGAACACAATACAGAAAAGTCTCCAAGATATATTTTAAAATGAAAAAGTGAGGTGCAAAACAGCAACATCAAAAAGAACAAAAAGAGTATATAATTCAAACAGTTGCATAGAAGATTTCAAGCAGAGTATACAAGGAATGTATAGGATTGGTTGCCTCTAATAAAGGGAAATTGGGAGGTAGTGACAGGGATGCAAATGAGGATTTTCACTATATAACCCTATTATCTTTTGAATGATATGAATAAATTATCTATTCAAAAATGAATAAAATTAAAACTTAAAAACTATCAGTACTGATAACCATAGCTCTGGAAAATTCTTCCCCTTTTAAACATCTCTGTAAAATATCAGTCAGTCAACAGATATTTAGTGAGTACATATAATGCTGCCAGCTATGTTAAGTACAGTTGAAATTAGTTTTGAGGAAAGTCAGGTTTTATTGCTTACAATGGAATAATAAGATCAAGATATTTTAGAAGAAAAAAATAAGTGAAAGCTGACCTGTGAAAAGATCCTTGGCACTGGGTGACTGTGTGATGTAGGGAGAAAACAAAACACTTTAGAGTCACAGATATAGACTCACATCCCAGCTCTGCTATGGGGTGGTCGTTTTACCTCAAGCAATTGAATTACCTTTTCTGAGTCTCAATATCCTCATATATAAAATGGGGGGGCAGGGGTTGGGTGTGATGGTTAATTTTATTTGTCAACTTGGCTAGGCCACAGTACTCAGATATTTGATCAAACATTATTCTAGATGTTTCTATGCAGGTATTTTTTAGATGAGATTAATATATAAATCAGTAGGCTTTGAGTAAAGCAAATTATTCTTCATAATGTGGGTGGGCCTCATCCAATCAGTTGAAGGCCTTAATAGAAAAAGACTGACCTCCCTGGGTAAAGAGGGAATTCTGCCAACAAACCACCTTTGGAGCTGCAACTTTTCCCTGGGTCTCCAGCCTGACAGCCTACCCTGCAGATTTGGACATGTCAAGTCTCCACAATCGTGTGATCCAATTCCCTAAAATAAACCTCTTCCTCTCTCTCTCTCTCTCTCTCTCTCTCTCATACACATACACACATATTGTCAGGGAGGAAAAATTTTTCCTCTACCTTCTTATGTTTAGAGATGGAGGACTGCAAATTGAACTGACAAAAGACAGATTTTTAATTCACGTACATACACAGGAGTTCACAAAAAAATGTGATTAGGAGGTCGTTGGAATTGGGAGCTTATATACCATTTTAATAGGGGAGGGGGGAAGGGCACTTACAGGAAAACAAATGACTTCTCAGAAATGGTGGGGGGAAGGGCACTTACAGGAGAACAAATGCCTTTTAGGAAAGATAAATGGGCCCTTAGGAGAATAGATGGGAAGATATGATAGTTTTGTGACAATGTCTATCTAGGTGTGGCGCTGATTTCTGTCACTGGTGATAAGAATCAGTCTTCCCTGCTTCCAAAACTCTCGGGAGAGGATTTATGAGTTGAGTTCTTAGGGGAGGCTCTGCTCTTAGGCAGATAAGGGGAGTTCAAAACCTGCATCTGTTGACGCTCAAATGCCTTCAGCTCAAAATAATATTTATGCCACCGTGGTGCATCCTGGAGCCCTTCAACATCCTGTTGGTTCTGTTTCTCTGGAGAACCCTGACTAACACAGTGGGATATTTTGAGATTTAGATATAATGTATGCAAAGTTAGATATAATGTATGTCAAGACTCATTCAATAAATTATAGCAGTTATTATTAATTTATTCTAAGGCAGATACCAGATAATATTTTGACTAAACTATGAGCATCAATGTCTTAAATTACTTGGATTCAATTTTCAGAACCTAAAAATATGTACAAATATGAAAGCTACAACCGTGGAGTAATATGACTGACTTTTATTATTACACCAGAACTTAGCGGCCGAATTACTCTAAATCCTCCAAGTAGTTGCCAGTGAAGGCTCTAGAACAGGGCTACCTTAGCTCAAAATGTTTGAGTGTGGAGGCAAGCTTTTAATTTTTGACCTGATTTTTTTAAATAGTGAAACAAAATTCATTCAAAGCATGACAGATAACCAAACTAACAAATGAGTATTTTGAAATTAGATGGAACTCTACATTTATGTGAAGCAAAATGTGGAGCTGATTTTCCTATTTGGACTCCAACGTTGTTGTATTAGTGTGGTCAGAATAGGCCATGTTATGATAACAAGTAAATCCCAAAGTCTCATTGGTTTAAAACAAAAGGATTATTTCTCACTCACACAAAATCCATTATGGGTCCAGCGGCTCTCCAAGTTCTCTCTCTGCTAAGCAGTGACTCACAGATCCAGGCTGTTTCCATGTTACAGCTCCACTGGAGCTGGTGGCTTCCAGGTGCTGTGGCAAGAGAAGAGAGAGCTCAGAGAACTAGGGAGCTTTGTACTACCTCAGCCGGGAAGTGGCCACTTCCCACATCTCTTCACACACACTTCTGACGGCCAGGACGAGTCCTCAGGCCCTGCCTAGGGTTGAGGGGGCTGGCTGGTGTTGTCTTCTGTGTGCCCAGGAAGGAGAGGCGAATGGGGTATGGTGACTGCTAACCATCTTACCCACCTGGTCCTCGAGGGCAGGGAGTATCAGAGACCACACCAACAGTGGCCGAGGCAGTGGGGGAAGTGCACGGTCTCTTTAGATGACTTCCCTGAAAGGAACACCACCCACTTGGTGTGTTTGATTGAAAATGTATTCCAATACTTTATAAGCACACTTTGGGTCTGTAAAATGAAATATGGATGAACTTCTTCAGGAAAATGCCACCTTAAAGCACTGGATCATTGCCCAAAGCTGTTCTTTCAAGCAGAAACTTTTTGTAAAGCATCTGTTGTTGTGACTGTTTTGAATAAAACTGTTTACAACATTAGAGAAAAGGCATATAAAAACCAGCTGTTCAGTGAAAGAGAAAACCTTCCAACATTTTTATTTCAACTCTTTGTATTTTTTAAAAATTCATTCAAATGAGATAACATTTGATTAACTTAGCAGGTGTCCTCCAAAGCTGAGCAAATGCCTAAATAGCATGTTAACACAGCGGAGAAGTCAACTGCCCGCCTCCTCACTCCCTCACCTCCCTCAATCCCCCCATCCCCAGGCCATTGCATTCACAAGCATTTGAAATAAATTAAAAACCTTCTCCTTCTTTTGACCTCACTGAAGAGGATTTCCTCCTTTGCCTTTATGAGTCTGTGAGTTAATTTTGCAGAGAAGCCAAAAGCTTTTCTGAGCATCTCACAGGGGCTCCAGATAGGGTCAACTATGGTATTTTCTAATAAAATAAAAGATGAAGACCACTTAAGTATTTTGCAGGTTTTATTCTGATCAGTCAATGCACCAGAACAAAAGCAAATAACCATGAACTTCTCTGACTTAAGTGCTTCTCCAACACACAATTTCAAGCCAATACCCACTGTTCATGCCGACCAAACCCCTCCGTCTGGTCTTCATGTATGGGCAGGTGGTATCTCTTCTTCATTAACTGTTTTTTTGTGTGTGTGAGGAAGATCAGCCCTGAGCTAACATCTATTGCCAATCCTCCTCCTTTTTTTCCCCCAAAGCCCCAGCAGATAGTTGTATGTCATAGTTGCACATCCTGCTAGTTGCTCTATGTGGGACGCGGCCTCAGCATGGCCGGAGAAGCAGTGCATCGGTGCGCACCCGGGATCCGAACCCCTGGCCGCCAGTAGCGGAGCGCGCGCACTTAACCGCTAAGCCATGGGGCCGGCCCCTTCATTAACTGTTATAAGAAAATTCATTATCATCTCTGTGTGAGGTTCAGTAACACAAGAGCCTCTGTTAATGCTCAGAAATATATTCCACTCCAAGCAGGAGAAGACTTCCTGCAGCTGCCCTTTTGGCTATTACAAAAGATGCTGCCTCCATCAATAGCCTCTCCTATTTGTCCCAAGTACACTGCGTGATTATGGGCCAAAAGAGCCCTGCACAGCTGCAGGGTAAGATTCAAAAGTAAAATAATCTTCGTGCTATTTCTAGTTACAGAACTGAGGTGAGAGTCACTGGTGCAAAAGATCAAAGTGATTAGCTTTGCCATGGCCCAGACATAAGAGCGAAAGGAACAGAGGTTGGAAAGCCTAGTCTTTTGTTGTTAGCATCAGCAACTACAGACATTTATTGGAAAAGGGCATAAATCATGGGTCCTGCCCTCTAGAAGCATCTAGCTGGGAGTGTTAGGAACATAAAGAAAACCTCAAAGTTGTCCATGGTTCCCTTGTCCTTTGTAACTAGCTGCGAAAGGGCTGCAGTCGGCCATCTCTGATGGACAAGCCAAGGCCATCGGGCCTGGTTGCTTAAGATGTTACTTGAGATGTTCCTCTTGATGTAAAGACTGGCTTGGCAAGTTTCCTGAGGTTCCAGAGCCCCTGGGCACTCTCCTTTTGTCCAAGTTACAGCTGCTCTGAGTGAGCTTAAGGCACCCTCTTGACCTCTGGGACACTGTGTGCATGCCTGCCTGCAGCTATCAAGGTGGTTCAAGCTCCTTCCTTGTGGCCCCTGGTCCCGTTCCAACTCGTTTGTTCTCTTTGAGACACATAGGCCTGAGGTTTATTCCTGATTCTGCTTGGATGGAATTCTAGCTCTATCCTTGTTCTGCCCCACTTAAAATCTATCTGCTACCTTAAAATGATGAATGTTGCTGGGTTAATTATACCTCAATAAATCAAACTTAAAAAAAAATCCATCATGAAGCTTCAATTTATCTCAGTAACCCTCCCTTCAGGCTCTTGCTCTACATAATGTAAACCATATAGACACTGGTCAGTAGGTTCTAGTAGATGGCAAGCTTGCATTTTCCTTTATCGATGGAGGTTTGATCGCTTTTGGAAGAAAAGAGACACCTTCCAGTATCTCATGATACAGCTTTCCATGCCTGTCTTTTCAGTTGGGTCATAGTGGGAAAAGTCCGAGGAGTCCTGGATGGGCCTTTCTGCATGGGGGAAGGTCTGAATCACAGAACAACACCAGGGAACTGGCTGAACATCAGATACCTCCAATTGAGTTTCTCTTTTCCATAATAACATTTGATTATAACTTTTCCTTTGAAAAATTCACCTGTATTTTCTGGCTTTCTCGGATATACAGCTATTTATAAATGTAGAAGCAAGTAGAGGTTAAAAAGAAGTTTAAAATACAGTTAAAAGACAGGGTTGTTGTGATGGTTAAATGTGATAACATAAATGAAGAGCTTAACGTTGTGTTAGGCAAGAGTAAGCTCTGAATAAATGTTAGTTATTCTCATTATTCTTATTAGGAGTGTCATTATTGTGTTTATACTGTAGTCATCTTACTGGGCAGAGTCTGCTGTAGTTATCATCTGATATGGTGGGGAATCTCTGAAGGAGATGTATGGGGGAAGTCTTCAATCCTTTTCTGAAAGTTTTTTGGTAACTGGAATAGAAAATGTAAAAGGAAAGACCATGAATGTGATTAATTTTTATTAAGGTTGATTTATGACAGAAATTGACTTCTTCCAAAAGGAAGACATTTCTTAGTCAGACCAGCATATCTATTCATATAAAAGAAAAAGAAGAAATTCATTTGAATCTGAAGCCACAAAACAATGCCCTTTTTATTTCTTTAAAACCTGGACTTAAGAAGAACCAAGAGAAGTGTGTGGTAGGCCACCCCTAATGGTCCCCAAAGATCCCCACCTCCTGGCATCCACACCCTCATGTAATCCCTTTGCCTTAAGGATGAGCTGGACTTGTTGACTTGCTTCTAACAAATATAATATGGCAGAAGTGATGAGATGTCATTTCCAAGATTAGGTAATAAAAAGACTGTGCCTTATCTTGGTTGCTCTCTCTCTCTCTCTCGTTATTTGCTCTGGAGAGACCCAGGTGCAATAAGGCAGCCTTGTGGAGAGGCTCACATGATGAGGAATGGAGGCTTGCCAATAACCACAAGTGAGCTTGGAGGCGGATTCCCCCCCACCCCCACCCACAGTCAAACCTTCAGATGAGACCACAGCCCTGGCCAACAGCTTTACCGCAACCTCATGAGAGACTTTGAGCCAGAGGCACCCCATTTAGCCATGTCTATATTCTTGACCCACAGAAACTGTGAGATAATAAATGTTTGTTGTTTTAAGCCACTAAATGCTGGAGAAATTTGTTACATAGCAATAGATAACTAATACAAGAGGTTACAAAGTTGAGAACATACATTTTTCCCCTTATTTTAAGGCAAATATTGGAATAATTTCTAGTGTAGGGAAGGAGGGCTTGATAACAAATGACTATAGTCTTAAGCACCAAATGTATGCTCATTCATGCTACTAAAAATTACTAGTTGATTGTTTTTTAAGTCTTTAAAGACTATTGAGGCAACTGGAGGAGGGAGGTGGGACTCCTAAAAACCATGTCATATGAAGAATGAGGAGATATAAGTACTATCTTTTAAAATGTGAGCAGTGGTCATGTGGGAAGAGATATCCTTCACTTGTCCTATGTGACCCCGAAGGGCAGAGCAAGAGTCAATGACTGGAAGTTGCAGGCAAGCAGATTCTGGCCCCACTGAATTTTCCAGGTGTTTCCATGAAACACCAAGAATAAAAGTCATGTCAATCACTTGACTCTTCAAAAATTACATCTACATGTGAAGGCCATCTGCAAACAATGAAAATGCTACTGTCTGTGTATAGTGGAATTGTGGGTGATTTTTAAAGTTGTTATTTTTCAAAATTATTCTTTATGTTGTTATATTGTCTTTGCAATTAAAATGAAATGTATTATAGGAAAAGAATGCTACCCACTTTGTATTGTTAGAACATTTCCCATTTTGGTTTGTTTTTGTGTCTCAGGCTGACAATCTCCTTTCTTCACAGAGAAAAGTCTGATGATCCTAGGAAACACCCTTTCTTCAAAACCATCAACTTTCCTCGTCTGGAAGCTGGCCTAGTTGAACCTCCATTTGTGCCAGACCCTTCAGTGGTTTATGCCAAAGACATCGATGAAATTGACGATTTCTCTGAGGTTCGGGGGGTCGAATTTGATGACAAAGATAAGACATTCTTCCAAAGATTTGCAACAGGTGCGGTCCCCATAGCATGGCAGGAAGAGATTATAGAAACGGGACTGTTTGAAGAACTGAACGACCCCAACAGGCCCGCATGTTGTGAGGAGGGCAATTCATCCAAGTCTGGTGTGTGTTTGTTGTTATAAGTTGTTCTCTCTACCAGACAGGCAGCAGGAGTCTCAGCTGACGTAATGCTTGAATGTTCCTAACACATGAAAATCTGTTCAATGAGGACTGATCAATCAGGAGGGGCAGTTCAACCACAGAACAGTTCAAAGGACGGGCGAGCTCACCACTAGGAAACACTTTCCCTCCCTCTCGCCCTCCCTCTTTCTTTCTTTCTTTCTTTCTCTCTTTCTCTCTCTCTCTTTTCTCTCTTTCTCTCTTTCTTTCAAGATGAGTAAAGTCTCAGTTTTCACAGAGGGCTGGGAAAAGGAACACTCAGGTTTATTTTGATAAACTAAAAGCACGAGCCCTCCACCGTCACGTCCCTGAAAATTGCACAAAGTCCTAGGAACGGAGAATGGAACTTTGTGGTGTACTCAGAAAATGAGCATTTGCAATTCTTAGTAAATAATCGTTTTAGTTTTTCTTTGTTTATATCCTCTCTTCCCTTCATCCGTCAGTATTTCTTCTGCTTCTGTACTTATAAAAAGGATTTTGAAGCTGGAAATAAATGTTCCTGATATTCTCCCCCTAAAAAGGAGTGGATTGTAATATTATGGCAGTATTTCAGATAACAGAATAATTTTTAATTTACTGAAAGTCTCGTTTTCATTTTTTTAAAATAATTTACCATTATAATATTAAAGCATTTTGAATGTAAATATACACGAGGTCTGTGAATTAAAGTATTCTGTAAGTTGAGTCCTTTAAGTAATATGCTACAAATTGCTTACACCTGCAACTCCACATGCCGTCGGTTCCCAAACTTTGCTGGACTTTGGAATCACCTAAGGATCTTTAAAAAAAATGCTAATGTCTGACTCTCACCCCCAGATTTAATTGGTCTGGGGTAGGGCCTGGGCATCCAGAGTTTCAAGAGTTCCCGTGTGCTCCCATGATTCTCATGTGCAGCAAAGTTTGGGACCCACGGCCACGTAGATTTAAAGGTTATTACATATGGCTCCTTGTTTGGGTTCCTCAAAACTTCAATCATAAATTTTGACAGCAACTTTTCAAATACCCAAAAAGCATGTAATTTTGGCAATTGCAGTGTAAATAAAACTGAAGATAATCTGTATTCATCTTTTAGATTTTCTTGTCTTTGCACACTTTAGTTCCTCACGTATATCTTGGGAGGTAGATCTCTTGGCTATTTCAAGACCTGAGGGAGAAGGATGGGCTTAGAAACTGATTTGAACAAATGGTGACCTCATTTAAAGTGGCTGCCCAGCCAGCACTTGATTGTAGAATTAGCACTTCTCAAAAGCACAACCAAAGTGAGAATTCTAAGGCTGTAAAAAATATTTTGGGCACAAATATAAATCTGGGATGATTATCTTTAAAAAACAAAAAAAGATATATGTATGCATAAGGAGATCGCACTGGTCCCAGTGGTAAGAACCCTGACTGAAGTCATTTTAAAAGTTTTGCCCCTCGAGTAAGGGATCCAAGAGTTACAAAAACACTGGCCAAAAAAAAAATTTGGTTAACTGGAATCCAGCTAATAGTAATCCTCAGCTGCAAGACAGCATTAACCATATCTGGACCAAGTGGGAAGAAACCCTCGAGTTGAGTCCTGGGAGAATGCATGTGCCACTCACCCTCCTGCTCATCCTCAGCGAGCTCCTTGATGCTCCAGATCCCACCCTGGAGACACTGCAGAGTCCTGAGTCACCAAAGCAGGATACAGGTGTGTCCAGCAGATTTTTTTTCCTAAGGCAAGAAAGTAGATTAAAATTTGGTAAAATTTGTTAAATTTCTACCAAGTCTATTTTAACAAAAAACTAATTAACAGTTAACAGATATCCAATTAGCCAGAGCGTTCCAAGAGTAGAGGTCTCAGAATTTAGCTTTATACACATTAGACATTTAAAAGTAGTGTCTTGTTGCCTTGGTTCCTTAACGTATCTACTGCTTTCAATAACTTGAAATACAAATCTGTGTTTCGTTTCTTAGAACTAATTCAGGAAAATAACTGAATAAGATAACTATATTCAAACAATCAACAAGTATGTGGTGAGCTCTAGTGATACACTGAGCTCATTGGGAAGTGTCGGCGACACCACAGAGAAATAAGACAACCATCTAAGAAAAGCCGTGTGGTGTAGTGTATGCAGAATGCAGACTCCTGTTGTTATTATTCACATTTTAAATGAGGAAACTGAGGCTCACAGAGGTTTTGTAGGTTGTCCAAGTTCACACGGCTTCGCAGGCTTGTTGCGAAGACTAGAAATAAAGTATATGAAGCATATAGTATGTGACGTGTAGGGTCATACTAAATTCAAGACTGTGATCAGTAAGTAGCAGCAGATCTAACAATTCTAAGTAAGGAGACAAAATTATTAAGGGCTGAACCCAGCCACGTTAATTAAAAGTTCCAGAGGAAGTGAGAGAAGGAAGAGGGCTGGTCCCGGGAAATGTTGAGAAGGAAAGTTTTCACGCACAAGGAAAGAAAAATGTAATTAGAAGAAGTGGAGAAGTTGGGACCCATGCCAGGCCTCATCCTCATCATATGCCAGGTTGAGGACTCACTTGGGCCAAGTTGCAGTGCAGGAGGCTCTGGCCATCTGGACAAGGGCAGGGCACAGTGAGGGCTGTGATCAGGGAGGTTAAAGGTTGGAGATGCAGAGAAATAAGCAAATGCAAATAGTTGTGGGCTGGATTCAAGCAAAGACTTAAATAAGATGCAACCAGATGTCTCATCAAAAGAAGGAAGTGATTTTTGAAAAGGGATGATGCTTGCTTATTTTTAAAAAGTTAAAATGAGCTTATGTTTTTATAGGAAAGTTCTAAAACCATAATGAGACATCAGGAGAAACAAAGACATCTATGAGTGAAACATTTAGACAAAGAAGAACCAGAGAGAAGTCATTTTTATTCTTCCAGTTTGTCAGGGATTATTTGGAATGTTTGTTTCTTAAAGAAGATGGATTTGATAAACTGCTTGAAGGGGCTTAGAACTGCCTTGCAAAACAGAAGGTATGGATGATGTTTTCATAGGAAATAGTGATGAATTATTGATTTTAAGACTGCAAGCCATAGAGAGTTAAGAAATACTCTGAATTGTTTATTTTGAATATCAAATTTAAGATGTTTCTCGACCAGGCATGAATGTGAAATAATTCAATAATTTAAACTTTGCTTTTTAGGAATGGCACGTTTTGTGATCATGAGACTCTACCAGATCGACTTTTAAAGATCATTATATTGTATGTATCATTAGGGTAGCTTAATAATAAGAAAACTTACGTAAATTGTTTGGACAGTAAAACATGATGAAAACCAATTAATGAAAATATATAACTCTTGCTTCTTAAATGGTTGTTCTTGGCAGTTATAAGCCTTAAAAAGAAAAAAAATGATACAAGGAAAAAGAATAGATACCTCAAATATTTTTTTGCCTGGTAGACTTACCATATTAGCCATTTGATTATCAAAACATTAAAAAGAAAAGACTTCTTGAATTTTCTTGGATCATCTAGGAAAAATCATTGCAGTTACTTAAGTTTAGTTATTCTTTCAATAAATATCGGTGCCTGCTCTGTGCCGGGTTCCATTTTGCTTGTGGGTGATATGCTGGGTTTTCTCCCTTTAGGATTTTCAGATTGGAAAGTGCTTTTATTCCCCCGTGGATCCGTAAATCTTTATATCTCTCTGGGTAGAGATGAATTTTGTTCTTCCCATTTTTTCCCCAAGTTTTCTGCATTGAACACATCTTTCTTTCATAAATCAGAAAAAAAGTACATTATTTAAAGCAAGGCAGTACCTGGCTCTGGCAATAATAAGCCCCCGAGGTCCCCACCTCCCAGGCCAAGGGCATCAGCCTGGGTACTGGAAGTAAGGCCAGGGCTCCTGGTCTGAGCCAGTAGAGTGTCCCTGGACAGAGCCAGGAGTTGGTGCCTAAGGTAGGGCCAGATCAGTGGTTCCACAATCCAGACCATGAACTGTGGCTGGTCGGTGGCTATTTTTACCAAACCTCAGAGAAATGAAAGAAAGAGGGACAATGCAGCAAGTGTTTCATGTGCTAGTCACTTTAAAATATCTTCTTTTTAAAGGAGTTAAAATGTCTTCTTTTATGAAGCAGTTGGTATTTGACAAAAGTAAAAATAGGAGACCTTATGACCATCTTTCATTTTTTTTTTTTTAATTTTACTGACCCATGAGATCTCAAGTTCTGGGAACCCCTGGACTGGATGACCTTGAATGGCATTCCAATTGTATGGAACCATTTGCGCTTCAATGGAAAGTCATGCATCGTCTAGAGGAGAATCTGCAAACTTTTTCTGCCAAAGACCAGATAGTATATATTTTAGGCTTTGCAGATGACAACTACTTAACTCTGCCTTTGTAGTGGGAAAATAGCCAGAGACAATGTGTAAAGGACTGAGTATGGCTGTGTGCCAATAAAGCTTTATTTACAAAAACAGGTGGTGGGGCTGGATTTGGCCTACAAGCAGTAGTTTACGGATCCTGGTCATAAATCAAGTCTCATTAAACTGACTGGGCTGATTCTTTTTTTTTTTTTTTGGGGGGGGGTGAGGAAGATCAGTCCTGAGCTAACATCCATGCCAATCCTCCTCTTTTTGCTGAGGAAGACTGGCCCTGAGC